ACACCACATAACACAATACATAAAGCTATTTAGAGTTCGTGAATCGCATAAATTTGCTTCCATTTCCTTAATCGAATCTGAAATACAGCAAAATATGCTAACAAGATACTGGATTACCCCGGCTTAAAACTATTACTTAGGCAGTACTTATCCTTATATAAAAATGGCTAAAAAGCCATCATGTTTAGAAATTCTAATCTGGAAGCTGGGTTTTTTTGAATTACAAGTATTATTAAGACAGAGTTCCAACTCTTCACTGCGAGAAAGAGAATTTCACTATTATATTAAATATATTGAAGACCTAACAGACTGCAATGTTAGTTGTTTTTGACAGCGCCAATATAATTTATCCACCGTCAACAGTACAGGCACAGTTATATCAGCCGACCTTCCTTAAAAATTATGCTGAATACCAGCATGAAATAATAGGAAGAGTTTTTAAGGTTGACATAACCTTTTAATGCACGACTGCAACTTCCAATGAAAAGATACAATTATTTCTACTGACTTTGGGTAAACTAACCAGAGTTGCCAGCTGCACGTTCGTCAGATGAACTGAAATATTCAAACTAGTACGAAGTAATTCAGAGTGAAATATTTCCTTTCTTGACAAACCATTTTCGATCGCTGCACAATTGTGTTTATAATAATAAGGGAATTGCTTCTGTGATGTACAGTTTATGTTCAGTGATAGATTCTGTTGAAAAAAGGATGAAATGACCATGGGATCACTCTTATGCCCTCTTCTATTTGATTGCTTCGTAACTAAATTAAAAAATCCATAATATATTCGGTTTTCATTCATCTCCATCTATATAGAAGATACATGAATGACACTTTCGTCATCTACAATGATAAAATTATTCTTGTTGCCTTATATTAACATTCAGTGATTGTCATTCCTCACTTAAGTTGAGATCTACTTAGAGTTTCGCTTTCTTGGTATTTCTTTGGAGACGAGGCCTGATTATTCATTTTAAAAGTCAATCTACAGGAAAGCAGCTTAGAAGAAAGGTATTCTAATTTTCAAAGCTATGAACAAATGAGTTGTAAGAAACTAATTCATCTATGTAATATGAGAAATACAAGAATTTCTAGCAACGACACAACAAACAAAGAAATGGAAAATCTTCAAAAAGTGTTTCTTCAGAACGGTTGCTATTAAGGTCCAATGGAAAGTGCACGTGACCAGTGTAGTGAAGAGAGCGAATTTCTGTTGTTACTTAGAAAACCTCATTCACGAATGTTGAATTTAAATTGGACAAAGCAACACAGCTACGAAAGACTCGTCTTCCTAAAGCTGTTGGAAGAATATCTGATGCTACTGAAAAGCGAAAGGTCTTTGCCAGTCGACTGGATTAGGCATGAAGGATAAACTGAATCTATGGGTGAAATTCATGTGTATTTATCAGCGTATCTGCCATTGTGAAGTTGGTTATGCAATGCTTGCAAGAATATCTCCAGGTGCTATCCTAATTGGCTATTCAGAGGAGATTGTAGGTTAAGCAACAACTTTATTCTGGAACATTAGGTTAACTGTAGCTATTTCACTTCTTCGAAGTTGTTTTCAAAAATTATATACAAAGTCAAATCAAAAGCCTTAAAAGTAGGACGGATTTTTCAGATAATTTTAGCGGAGATGTTGACAGTATAAGCATTAAAGCCCAAGCTTTGTCTACACAAGTGGTACGCCGAACCTCCTGTTTTTCCGTGGACAAACTCTTCCCTTGGTTTTATTTCCTTCTTTGATGTTCACCATGCCCTTATAGTCTGATTATCGTGCACGCCTTTACTTTATGGGATACTTCTTAACATTGATACATGGTGGTTCAAACCCCTGTATATATTTTCGTAGTATTTTATTTTAATTTTTTATTTTTGTAACCTAATAGTTATCACTGTGATCGACTGTACATTTCTTCTTATACGCTCTATGATCACAATATTTCTTTTCAACTCTAGAATGATTTGCTGCATCCTGCTAGAACATTTTATTTTAACTATCTGATGTTGACCTATTGACCAGTAATACACTGTCTTGTTTGTTCTAACTATAAATACTGTTGTGCAGCTGCTGAAAAGGATTCGGTGAAAAGAAAATTTTCCGCGCTGGACCTTATGATCAGTGAAGTCGATCATGAATAATTCGCATTCCAAAAAGCAATAACCACTCCTGATTTTGCATAAAATTTCATTTTAAAGGGAATACGTATTGAAGTCAGTTGATAAATCCTGATAGCTGTGGGTAACTAAAAAGAAAAGTCTATCATGCTGCTGAATGTATTCACAAAGCCTTATGGTTAACTTTAGTGATATCTTGTGGCATATCCTAGGACTTTCGATGAAATATCTTCATCTATGCGTTACCGTTAGAACTCAGCTCTTTCCATGTTGACGAAGTTAGTTTCGTTGAATCATAATTCAGACAGCCCTGACTGCTAATATTTTTGATGACAGTAATTAGTAGGAGACAGTTACCGTTCTTCCGAAGTAACTACGCTTGCTTTCATCACGAAAGTGAATTTTTGTCTTCCACTAACGTGTTCATCTAGTATTTCATCAAAACTGTCAACGCTGACGTCACTGTATCCTTCTTCTTCTTCTGTTCCTGCCAATGTTGAATCTTCGTTCAGTAACAAACACTGTCTGGTTCATCCTTTCTTAATAAAGAATCATTTGGCTTTATAAAACGCAACTGGCAAAGATTGTTTATGTTATTTAAGGTGAAATTATTACAAGACATCACTTTTCTACTGTCTGTACATCCTAAACTATAATATTTCATAGATAAATAAAATACTTTTTATTTTATTTATTAAAGTAAATTATACAAATATCAATTGGATTTGGAGTTAAGGTAGTTTTTATTTTGAAAAATTGCCTCATTTTTATTTGTTTATGTATATTGAATATACAGCGTGTATTTTAATTACAAAGTAAAAGAGATTATATTGTGGTCAGTCTTCTGAAATGTAATTAAAATGCAGTTTATGTCAGAAGAGTGAACTGCCAAACTGCAACTAAATGAGTATAATTAACCTAAATAACCATACGCAAATACTAGGAATATTTATGACATGATGTATCAAGTTTATATATAGTGGTGGCTTTTATTTATTATCTGGCTTCAAAATAGTCTTATTCATGAAGTGATACAAGTTGCAAAACTACTCACAACTTAGACACACTGGATAGCTGTTTCGTCTTGGTTCCTACTTCTGCGTCAGTATACGCGCGTAACCCTGGGAGAGATGGAGTTCAGTGCTGTCAAGTAGTATGAAGAGCACGTTATTGATTTGTCATTGAGCTGCAACAAAATATTCTATTTTCCTCTTTTTCATCAATTCACCATATACAATAACAATGGTCTTCCAAAATGACGCCAATCTATAATGAAAACTGTTTTCATTTGAAGCATATATTCAGCCTTGAATGAAGGAGATACTCTATGGGTTAAGCACTGTTTGGAAATGATCAAATTAGCAATGCATTCAGAAATGCGGTTACCCTTCAGTTTCGATACGTGAATTTCATGTTTTAAAATCTACTACTTGAAGTTGTATTGTGGGAATGAAGCTAAAACTGAAGCGATGAAAACATCCTATATGATAGAGAAGTTCATCTGGGTAACATTAGGGTTATATGAAGGAAATAGTGAAGTCTGACTGACCAAATTCAGAACAATCTGTTTTTTTGAATAGCTTGCAGTATAATCCGTGAGATATGGCAGTTGAAGATTTTATGCATACCAGGTTAGAATAGCTTTTCCGATGTAATTACCGATTTATCTTCATCGGGTGTCAAAATAAAGTCAAATATCCTGGAAAATGTAACTCACCACTAATATGTCTATTCGTATTACTATTATTATTATTATTATTATTATTATTAGAAATTTCCTTCATCGCCATTTTTTTTAACAACAACGATGAAGTATTTCGAGTTTCATCGGAGTGTGCAGAATGGCATATCTAGTGGTAGGTTTAGTATCGGAAAAGCACAAATTTTGCTGAGTTTTTTATTACGCCAGAGATGTTAGGTAAATAATTACTAGAGGGAAAAAAAGGAGTTTGAAGCGTGAAAAGTAGTATTATATATTCCGAGCTGGATAATGAAACATTATTATTTCGGATGAAATCATCATTAGAAAATTCAAAAAGACGTAATTGACGAGGACTTCTCTGTAGCTCACCTAGTGGCTTACCTTACAAGTATTTTTAACTATCAAAACAGTGACAATAGGTATTCTACAACTAGGTCAAAGATTGCCATATTGAACATTGAGGTCAGGCACAGATACTATGGTGTTGATTGGTTCACAAGTTAAGATTGGACAAGAACAACTGCAACTTTCTATTTTGCGATAACAGGTTTATCTGAAGCGTAGATTGTTTACTCAGCAGGGGTTAGTGGTTGATAGTTAAGTTCTTTGTCTTAGATTCCTAAGTGCAATTCACAAGGCCAATGCACTACGACACTCTTCACTTTTTTGATAGACATAAAACCACAATTATCTCATTAAACTTATAGAACTGAGCTGACCAGCTTCCGCAGTATGTTTTAAGTCTTATAAATGGATCATCTCTTTACCTATGAATAGATTTGAACCCTCTCTTCGACACTGTTTAACAAGTCCATAAAAAGAGATTTCTATTTGTCTGTCTCCCTTGTAAGTTCTACTAAGTAAGCGTAAACTTGTAAAATCATCTAAGGTGATATTAATCAGTTGTTTGTTCGGTTTTTAATGCAATACAAACAAAAAGGAAAGAATTATTGGGAACAAGTTAGCTGATGACATCAAAATAAGATACATTTTCAATTTCCCATGAGTTAGTAGGAGGAATGAAACAAACCTTTTGCTAAGTAGTACATATATAGCTCACATCTTTCAAAGAGTCTGATGCTGTCTTTCACAAAATTTTACGATCTTTGTTGTGCTTTCAAGCTTGGTTAAAATTAAATTTAAGTTGCATTATCATTTTTTCTGTTTTAATATTTAGCCCCTTCCGATGCTCCGAGTAATTTTCGTGTAGTCAGCGGAGATCAGACTTCCGTAAAGTTGGCCTGGGAACCTCCGCCATTATTGTATCGGAATGGTATTATTACAAAATATCAAGTTCGGTGTTATGTTGTAGGTTCAGAAGAAAACCGTGATGAACTGAAAACACTTACAGAACAATCCTTGAATCTATTCAACTTACTCCCAGCTACACACGCATGTTTAGCGCGTGCTTGGACTAAAGCCGGTCCAGGTCCTTGGAGTGATCGTATCCAATTTCTTATCAGTCCAAAAGGTATGTTGCTGGTTTAATATTTTGGAAAATATATAACACAACTCTTTAACTGTCGAATTTCATTCTTGAATGTTGCTAACTGCTTGTGGATAGTATATTAGTTAATTCTATCGGGGGTTAGATGATATTGATGATTTATTCAGAAGTCAAGATCTGAAGACAAAAGTCCTACATTTATTCTATTGAATACATCTTATTCAAAGGAGATTATTTTCATATAAGACAGTTATGTAGTAGAAATCAAGTTTATTTTGTAACTATTCTATATCATTCAGATTTGAGCCTTTTCACTGGACTCAGTGGTTCTGCATCAAATAGTAATTTGGAGTAAGCGACAAAACTCCGGTATTAGATAATTACACGTTCAGTGTCTTTTACAGTGTAAACTAAACAGATAGGGAGTAACGCAGTTACCTGTCGCTGAATGCGTCTCATACTGTATTATCTTGGTGCAAGAGTGCACACGAACAACGAATATTCAAAATTGTATTTTCTCAATATTCTGAAGAAAATATTTTACATCTAATGATATTTGCGGAATAAAAGCTTTTTAAGGGTATTATAGAGAAGAGATAATTTAGCGAAGAAAATTTTCTTTTTACAACGATATCATTTTCTAAAGCTGTACAATCGTATTTATATATATCATAAACATATAACAGTCCATTATAAAACAATAGGGTATAATTACATCACTAACCAAGTGCTACGAAAAACCGAATCAAGATTGCAAAGTAGTTACGTAATAATCTAAGACGGTAGAAATATCGAGGAAGGCGAGGAGTTTGACAAGGTGAAAATTGTTGGTAGATAAGAAACGCAAATATTGAGTGTCCACTTGAAAGACAGGTGTAAAGAAGGTGGAGAATGTGACAAGGGTCATAATGAAGGTGGTAATAATAAACTAATTAATTATAATGAAATCCAAAAATGTGAAATTGTTAAGACCATGTTAAGATGAGAGATTGAACATACTTCTTTTGCACGCAGAGATCAGGCTTGAATTGATGAATTGCCAGTGCTCCGCAGTGCACAACTGTCGAAGGCGTACTCCTTTTAAACAATTCCATTGACACCATAAATGACACTGAAGAAGATTCTGGTCTAGCTTTATGTCCAGAGTTGACCAAATGTTTAAGAAATGAACTGTTAATTGGTTTACATTCTCCCCTCGACAACCATGCAGGATAATGCTCCAAGATACGTTTGGAAAGCGTGTGCTTTGTGCGGCCTATATAACTAGCTCCATAAGAGCAAGTAAATTTGTAGCCACACATCGAGGTGGCCCAAAGTGGTAACTTGTCCTCAACTCTCTCCGGAATGAGTTGTTGACTAGAGAAACTGATCTGCAGTTTTGCAGAGAAGAATGTCTTCTTCAGTGATCTGGGTACTTGTAGTACCATTTCAAATACACACAGGTCACTTTCAAGACTTCACTTCAAAACCAAATCTCAGTTGCTTAGGGTAACTTACATTTCTCGATTACTTTTTTATTGAAAAGTTTGATTGAAATATGCTGTAGAGTCAAAGCTTTTTTCAGCCACATTATGCGTATTGCCTGACAAATGGTTTGCCACGCTTAAATTCTAATACTCTAGAGGGTTATTAGAACGTTTCACTGAACAGCGTATTTCTTTCGTATTTTGATAACACCTTATCGTTGACAGTTATGTAGTGCAGATTTACAAATGAAACTTCATACGTTAATTCTTTTCCGGTTAAATATATTGGCCAAAGAACGCGGTTTATTATCAGACAAGTGACGTGTGATGCTACTTTCCATCCTTTCTACCTTCTTCTAGAGAGATCCAGTTTACGAAACAGTTTGTTTTGATGTCCTTAAATGAGTCCATGAAGTTTGATGGTTATTTTTAAAAAGAACAACACTTTCCCATTGTTTCGACAACTATTATGTTAATTATTGTCTATTTGTTTTGCTAAAATGATCGTTATAAGATGAATACTCAAATATATATTTTTTCATGTTATGTGGACTATCTGATTGACTAAACAGACCTATGAGAACATTATAACTTGGAGTTTAACAATATCTATCATATCAGCTTGTCTGAAACAGTTTCGGGAAAATAGTTTTGCAACGTGACAACAAAATTTCAATCAACTAGAGTATTAACTTGCAAGACAACAACGTTTATTTTCTCACGATGTGAAAACTTTCGCTTTACTCACTGGATAGTTCTAATGGGAAGTTTTTGAAGCAAGAATAACAATTGCATGGTAATTTATTACTGTACTGAATTTTGATTATCCAACATTTAAGTTCAGCCATAAGTTTACCGACTAGCTAATCGAAATTCACATTATTTCAGCTTTTAGTATCATGACAACCAAAAAAGTCTGGTACTGCTTTCATATCTAGTGTGTAGCTGTGTTTTAGTGATTGTGAATAGATGCCGTGGATATTATCAAAGGATTCGTGTGGAGAATCTTTTTCAGGCAAAATAATTCTCAAGATACATAGTACTTGGTGGGTTTATTTTTATTTGAACACGATTTCGGTAATAGTCGATTCAACCTTATTCACCTGAAGACATAAAATTTCCTTCACCGGTCACATAGAGAGCTTCATTCAGAAATTAACTGTTCATTGTCCATTCCACTGAGCAAATGTTATGTTAAAGTGGGGAAGGAAATTCTGTCTTACAAAGTCTGTGCCCAGTTCAGAAGTAATACGTTGGCAGATAGTGAGTGACGCACCAGCATGAACAAACACTCTTGAAAAAGTGGACTAACCCTCTTTGGTAGTGGTAAAAAGACACATCATGTAAATGAATCTTTTACGCTAAGTGAAATAACAAGACCTCCCATCAATAAGTCTCAAACACCTTTTCGAGAATCATGCTTCCAAGAACTAGGAAAGGTGCTACTTATACGTTAGAAAACGTAGAATAACTATAAACTTTGCAATATTTCAGGTCACAATAGTAAGAATAATAATAAACGTGGTGCCTCATTTGAAACTACTACAAGGGACAAATAATAGGAGGAAACTGGCACAAAAAGTGTTTTCTGCTTGGCCTACGTTTGCAGAGGGAAGGAACTAACAACGTTAAATAGGCTGTAACTAAATTTTACTTAATTTGGAGTTGGCAGTTTTTGTGTGTATTTAGTTTACCTAGATCCTACTGTATTTCGTACGAAAAGTGATCGGAATTTGGGTCGGTCAATCAATGAATATCAATATGCCCTCTGGCGTTACTGTATAACGGTTCACAATACCACACCTTACATCAAATCAAGATAGAATACACTAGTATGAAAGGCAAAAGAAATAAGGAACAGGGTAGTCAAAAACGGTAGAAAGTCGCAAAAGCAAAACAGGAAGCAATGAAACAATAATGAAATGTAGTATGACGATCGAGGTGAAGATGGTTGGTAGATGCATTTCTGCCCTTAACTTCGATTCTGGGCCATTTCGCACACAGACCTGAATCATTTGTTTATGCGGTCAAGCCAACCGCAACCTGGAAATTTGCATCCCCCTGCACGGTGGCACCATCAACCAAAAATTTCAGGTACTGATACCGGGCTTTATTCTATCTCCTACGCTTTTGCAGTCTGAACATACTTCACTCAACATTGTGCGACAGGATGAACAGTGACTTAGTGTTTGTAATACATTCCGAAGTCATCTGGGTCGATAAGGGTTCATAACTTTATCAACTTACTCTTCCCATCTCCCTAAAACTTTATGATTGACTTGTGTGTGAGTAACATGGTAACACCACAACCAAGCCTTTAGCACAAAAGTAACAGTGTTAAAACACTTTTAGCCTTGTCATACCCTTCACTTTTAATGGCCATCTTTCACATTCAAATATTGGGACGGAGTGGATTGCAACAACTTGGGTCAGTACGAGTCATACGCAATATATGGAAACATCGCTTATCAGATATGTTAAATAAAATAAGCTGCACAGAACTTTCCACTTACAGATAGAACTGGATAGCGTTTCAAACAAAATTCATAATGCCGACTTCTATAAATGAGCTGGAGTTAGTTGGCCAATTAAAACATACATACGCAGTCAAGTATTAGTCAAATTTAACTTTAGTAAGGAGTGAGATTTTGTCTTCATCGAATTACTCGCAGACCAATTACTCACCACCCATAGTATTTCATAGCAAAGTAACACAGTCTGATCACAGTGTGGCTTTAGAAATAGATACTTAAAATGCTCTTGAGGATTCTGAATTCATTCACGCATCAAATTCAAAGAATTATTCACTTTTTGAACAGCTTACCAAGCTAATTTAATAAAAGTTCAGATAGTCTTAATTCACTTTCCTAGGTTTCAGGTGGGAAAATTAAAGTGTTTTAAAAATATACATCGGATTACTTCTAAAAAAAACTTCGAAGCAAAATCTATTTTATTAGACTGTAAAAACAGGTACATGATGTCTACTTCTATTGTAACGGCTGAATCACTGCTATAGACGTTCAGTTTAAATGGAAACGAAGTCTAAATAGATATCCACAACGCGAGCCCTATAGATGAGATCTTGGTCCACAAGGGAGCAATATTTTGAAGCAGTAGGAATGACTTACTGAAATAATATGTTTCTATCATCTTGTAATCCTACACTAATTCGTGGTGAGGAATTTTCAGTGTATAGAAATAAAGCCTTGTATTCTTTGCTAAGAATTTATGTCCTACCCTTTGGTCTTTTTTCTCATCCTTACTTGTTTGTTTGCCTGACTGGTAGGTCTATCGGCAGATATAACCTCAGTAGAGTTTCATTAGAAGTCGTGGCTCATTTATACAATCAAATACTCCAGTTAATCAAGAAATTCTGTTTACCTTTGAGCCAATAAGGTTTCGCCTCCAAAGCCGTTGAATTATTAGTTAGCCATTATCTAATCACTTTAATTGGTTTTAAGGTAAGAAATGAGAAGATTCTAAAGAAGACAATGATAAGCCTTATAAATAAAAATGAATTTAATATTCGTTGTTTTTTAAGTACTAAATGATCTTCTG